TCTGGGTTTTATATTGATATAGTACTCTGCAATTAAATTACACCAATACAGTACAATCCTGTGCTGCAAATCATTCCTGACATCAATTCACAAAGCTTCTACATTTATCAGCTGACCTTGTGTGAAGCACTGCTTTTCTTGATGACACAAATGAATGATGAGTTTCTACTAACAGGGCAGTCCACTCAAGGGAACAGTAGCCAGAAATAAGAACAGACCCATAAATTCAAAGGTAGAAAAACATAGGAAGCTGTAACACAAAACTAGGCTTGTTTTCTTTCACTATGTGTGGACTTCAACATTTAGAACAAAATCTAGGAACGATGTAGAGCATTAATTGCAAAAAACAGCAATAACTAAAAGGATAAAAAATGAACCGTGTGAAACTAAATATAATGTAACAAACTACATTTATTTAAAAGATTCATCTATGAGGGTTGCAATTATAGTTTGGCAACATTCCCCAAAATAGCAAGACAGAACTTTTCTCATACAATTTTTATAGATTTAGATTTCAAATACCCAATGTTTTGACTTTGAGATTTTAGAGATAAAGGGATTCCTCAAATAGATCTTGAGAAAGCAACTAAGCCAATTAATGACCAGGAGATTTTTTTTTAAAATCTCAGAATTCTGTGAAAACTATTACTTCTGTTTTTACTCGCTAAACATGTCCGATTTGGCAGTGGTAGACAAAGATTTTCCAAATTTCTAATAAACGGTTTCATACGACATACAGAACACTTCTTATTTCTATTCCTTGATGACATGATTGTGACAGAGAGACTCTTAAGGAAACCACCACAACACAAGACCAGCCTCTGTACCAACTGAATTTGAATAAAGCAAACCAAGCTAGTAACTTTTCAAAATATAAAATCCTGCCTGAGAACATTTTGAAAAAAAACATTGCGTTCCATTGTCAAAACAGCCATCTGAATCAGTAAACAAAAGGAAAACTCAATAACACTTAGAGCTGTTACAGATTAGATTTCTGTCTATAGTGAACATAATCTGGCTACAAAAGAAACCATAACAATCACTCTTTCTTCTTCCCCTTTCCCCACTATGTACAATAGCTCTACACAAAAAAGGAGCAGAGTACAGAGCAGCTATCCTTGAATATTACTGTCTTGAACATTAAAGAAAGATTTTTTTTGTTGCTACTCACCATCATCCATGGCCATATTCCTGAAAAAGCTTGAATTTGTGAAAGAAATGTCACATCAGATGCTGAACCAATTGAGTACTGTAACTGCAGCTTGTGCTGCTATCTCCAGTGCACCAAGAGGGAGATAAGCAAAATGCTGTGACCTAGTCAGATCTGCAGTTCCACACTGCAATAGCCAACAGCTGTTAGAAAAGTTCAGAATAAAAGTCCCTCTGCTCACAGGGTTTTGTGTAAGAATCTCTCACTGCCTTTAATAGAAATGTCGAGGCTGCTCCAGATACCCGATTTGGCAGTGCTAAACAATGATTTTCCAGATTTCTGATAAACTGGTTTCACACGATATACAGAACTCTTCCTATTTCTATTCATAGATGACAAGATTCCGACAGAGAGACTCTTAAGGCAACCACCACAACACAAGACACATGTTCAGTAATCTGTATTCCCCACAGATGCTCCACGTAATCAGAAAAGTCACATGGCTACAAGATTACAGTTTATCTGCATATTAAGAGTTTATTTAAAATTTTAACCTAGATTTGTAATGTCCACAGCTGTGTACAAACACATATTTTTTTCTGAACAGCCCCTGCTTTATTTTTAAAAAAGCTGTATCTGATTAAGCTGTGTAAACAACATATCAAAAACAATCCAAGGCTTCAGTGCTGAGGAAGCTACGCAACATTTTACACAGATTGGATCCACTGGAGACAGCGACACAAGTCGCCGAGCTGCGCAGGTGCAATGAATGTGCAATGTGCCTTTTGTGGAGGAAATCACAAAGCAATCCAGCTTTCGAGCTTCATCAACTATGACAGCTGAACAAGAACAGAGAAATCAATGAGACCAAATGAATGCAAATCAGCCCACAGCAAACAAGGGGGGCGGGAGAGAGGAGTCACGGAAAATTCTGGTTGAATTAGTAACATAACTAGGTTATTCTATTTTTTTTAAAACCAAATCAGGCCTAGAATATCCTATGTAAACCATAAGCCCTCTTACACCATTACATCTTTAGAGGTGGACATCTGAGACAATATCCTGTGCAGCATTTGCAATTAAACCAGAAGCATATTTTGGATTGTATTCCATGTACTATACAGTAATGTTAGTTATAAAGCAGTGTACTTGCCCAGGGATTTACATAATCAAAATTTTCTATCACTCTAGGTTTAAATCACCACCACTCTCGCTCGGCTCCACATCCCCCAGAGGATCGAGTTCAAAATCCTAGGCCTTGCTTTCAAAACCCTCCACGGCCTTGCTCTTCCTTATCTCTGTGACCCGTTAACCCCATACCAGCTTGTCCACTCACTCCACTTGGGAGACTCTGGCCTGCACCACACCGCCTGCCCACCCCCACAATCGGTGGTCGGACCTTCAGCCTTTCTGCCCTCACCCTCTGGAACTCCAACCCACAGTCCCTATGTCTCGCCCCCTGCTTTGTCTCTTCCAAGGCCCATCTCAAGACATTCTTCTTCAACCGCGCCTTTGGTCCCCCTCTTACCCCCAACCCTCCTGACCCCACCCCTCCTGATCCTAAACCCCAGCTCAGGTGCACATCCTCGACTGTCCAGTGCTTTGGGACATCCTCCCGATGTGAAGGACGCTATACAAATGTAAATTGTAGTAGTTGTTGTTAAATCAAACATTTTGTTCCTACGACTTTCCCCTCCCCTATACAAGAGAAAAAGACAGAAAAAAATGTGCATTTTATAGCACCTATTACTTCCAAAAATTTCAAAGTCTTTAACAAGGACTTGTAAAATATAGTAACTGTTTTCTTCTGCAAATGCAGCTATTTCCACCAGCAAAATGTTGAACAGACATTAGATGAATCACTCATCTAGAGGATATCTGACCAGGCTAGGGGGAGAAACTCAGTTGTATTTTCTCAAACAGTGCCATAGAATTTGATATCCATCCGAGTTACGAAATGGTTCTCAGTTCAAATTTTCATACAAAGGACAGCACCTCCAACAATGTAAAGCTCTCCCATGTATTGGATTTAAGCATCTATAAATGAGGCGCTCAAATCAAACTCAGGACTTGAATCCACAACATTCTGGCCAACAGGCAAGAGTGCTATCAATTGAGCCAAGATAGTTTGGCAACCAAACATTGCCATTACTGAACTATTTTGCATGCAATGCACAAAAGCTAGCTCTGATTGAGCGACCTCTTATTTCCTCAAGCCTGCCAGAATATTACGTAGACCATGTAACCCATTTTTTGAAAGGTTAACAAACAGCATATTTACAGAAACCTCTTTACTGTGTCCTAATAATCTACTTTAACCTCAAATTCAGAAGAGATTTAATGCACAAGCTTGTTAACATTTTCTAACGTCCCACACAAGCCATTCTTTAATCCTCGCTGAGATTTCTGATTCAGTGCTAAATTGTGGGCGGTCTCCACTAGGAATTCTTTACCAGTCTGATCCAGATTCCAAGGCTACAATATAATTGCTTGTAAAGTCATCAGTGAATCAATTCCAGCAGCAAAGGAAGTATCACATTGCTGGTTGAAATGATAATAAAGAGACTTGGCCTGATGTGTTTGCACAAAATGATACAAGGCTAATGAAGCCCCTGAGTGACCAAGGCTTCAAATCGGAAACACAAGACATCACATTCATTAGATAAACATACATAGGAGGAACTAATAGCATTGGAGTGCAGGGATCTCAAAAAGGATTAATGATTGGTTCAGAAGCCTCTCTTTCGTGGAGAATCTATGAATGCAATACATTTCCGCAAGCCTACCAGAATATTATGTAGATCATGTTACCCATTTTTTGAAAGGTTAACAAATAGCATAGTTTCAGAAACCTCTTTGCTGTATCCCAATAATCTATTTTGACCTCAATGCCATCAGGCCCTTGTGACTTGTCTTATTCATAAGTTAAAAGTCAACAAGAATAGATATTTGTACAGAATCAATTATTGTCATGATTTCAATCAATTTTACCACAGGTAGCTATTTCAAATCAGTACAGTAGCATTAATGAATTATTTTAACCAAATATAAATATTCCTTCTGATTTTCCCAACAGTTGCAAGTCAATGTTACAGAAGAAAAACATTTCCAAAGTTTAAAAAAATTATGAACAGATTAACAGAGCTCATGTCCCAACGCACATCGACAATCAAAGATACAATAGAAATGTATAATACAGAAAAAGGACAAAAGGCCCATTGTATCTGCACTGGGTCTCAAAAAGAACTATCCATTTATTCTAGCCTTTTTCTATGCCCTTCTTAGTTTCTCCTTTCCAGATATTTATCTGATTCCTCCTTAAAGACTAATATGAATTATACCTCAAACGCGATTCTAGGTAGGGCATTCCACATCGTAACAATAAGGAGAAAACAAAAACAGCTCTTTATTTTGTTTCTACAGTCCATTAATAGGTTTTTCTTAAATCAGCACCCATAACACCACCTAATTTTAATAGCGTAATTTATCAAAATATCAACAATCTAAGAGTTAAAGTCCTGTGATATGGTTTAGAAATTCACATAAATAATGCACTATTTCAGATAACAAATATGAAACGTAATCAAGCATTGGTTACATTTTATCATGCTTATCTGGAAAGCAATTACCTATCTACTTAAACAATAAGAGCTCATTTGCAGGAGCCTTGGATTACTGCCTGGCTTTGCGAAGCATGTTTCCTCAGAGCCAGTACAATGCAAAAGACAACTGCGTATAAGATATTTTGTAAGACACAGCACTCATTGTATTGATCTTGGATAACAGAATCTGATAAATTACTACAGCAAACCAAAAGTAAATACAGTACCAGCTACTGTTATATACTTACCAAGGCTGAAACTCAATATCATGTTTCCAGACCTGTGCACTTCATCAAATCTTGCAAATAATGTCTGTAATCTAAAAGCAAAATTTTAATTCACTTTAGTTCATATGCAAAGCAAACCAGATTCTAATATTATTAATTAATAGGAGCTCCATTGAAGACAGAATACGTTAACACAATTGGCAGTGGTTTAGTTAACGTTTGGCCAATTAAGTCACACTCCACTTTCAGAGACGTACAAAGCAAAAAAATGTGATATTATATGTGTAATACATTTCTGATTTGTACATGTGAAAATGTGGAGACAGCTTTCATTCTAAAAAAAACAAATGGGAACTTGCTGCTTGCAGTTCACTACAACATAGTGTTCTTTGTACTTGTATGTATTCCCTTTTATTGGGGCAAACATTTAATATGTATTGTTTGATAAGAAAATATTTTTATTTTTCTATTGCAATGGAAATTTTCTACTTTAAATTAGAGTTGGGATTAGGAAAGGCCATACCTTTCCAAAATACGGTGAACAGAAAGAACCCAATTGAGTTTCCTTTCTACCAACCTGCCCGCTTACTCCATTCAGGGGGCTCCGGCCGCTCCATGTCTCCCCCCGAACCGCCCTACCATCGGAAGCCAGGCTTTCAGCCTCTCTGCCCCCACACTCTGAAACTCCATCCCACAGTCCCTTCGCCTCTCTTTCTCCCTTGCCTCCTTCAAGGCTGGTTTCAAGACCCTCCTCTTTGATCGTGTCTTCAGTCGCCCTCCCATTTCTCTGCCTTCCCTCACCCCTACCCCACCCCTCCCCATGCTCAGGTCTTGACCCCTGACTGTCCCGCGCCTTGGGACGTCCTTAACGTGAAAGGAGCTCTACAAAAGATTTTGTTGTTTTTAAGGCTATATTACAAAGCAGTAAATAGGTATAGTGAAAGGACAAAATATAGCAAATATCTGCTTATTTTATATTTTCTGAGTAGGTATTCAAGTAAGTTTGCAAAGACTCAATTACAATGAACTGTTATCTGTTATGTATGCAATAACTCAGAGGTAGCTAAAAAGAGGGTTTAGATCACTGAGCAACTGATACGGCTAAAAGGTTATTTTAATATATTGAAGAGTATCCTGACTCTAGAAACGGATCAAAATGAAATAAAATATCCCCTAAGGGTGGATATCATACAAGGTAGTCACTGTGTGGTGTTGGCGCATTGGCAGGTTGGCTTCCTGCAAATAAAAAATAGCCGACTTCCGTCAGATCAAGGCAAAGGGAATGTAGGATGGAGTTCCATAGGGTGGGGGCAGAGAGGCTGAAGGCCCAACCGCTGATGGTGGGACGGGTCGGGCGGGGGACATGGAGCAGTTCGGACGGAGCCTGTTGTGTGGAGGGAGCGCTCAAGTTGATAAGGGATTAGCAGATCGGAGAGATAGGAGGGGACAAGGCCATGGAGGGCCTTGAAAGTGAGAATGAGAATTTTTAACTCGATCCTCTGCGAGATGGGGACATGGTGGTGCTGGGTGAGTGTGGGTGTGATGAGGTTACGGGGCCTGGTGTGGGAGAGGACACGAGCTACAGAGTTCTGGATGTTCTGCAGCTTGAACACAGCGCACATAGTGACACCAGTGGCAATTTGAAAGCTAGCACATGTGCATGCGCAACAAATTACACCCTCGGAATCCATTTTTCAGGAAATTGCATGAGCTGCACTTCTTAAAAATACACAGTATACAAGAAGTGACATTATGTCAGCCCCATTTTCACCCGTTATTTGGGTTCATAGATCCGGAACAGTGAAACATAGTGAGATGTTTCTGTATTATAGGTGAAGATGGGATAAGATGCCATATACACTTACACTGCAGCTTAATTGATTAGTAATATGTTGTTAAAACCTGGGGTCTGGGGGCTGATGAAACAGTTACATTCCATGTTGATTTCAAAACCCAATGAAAAGCATGAATACAAGAAAGACACAGATGGGGTACAGAAGAAAATGAAAGAAGGGAAAACCGTAAAGATCTTTCTTTTCACTCCTCCAGATTTCAAAAGAGGTTAGACTGACAAGAAAATCTGTTTGGCACCAGTGCTAATCAGATGCCACTGATACTATCAGTGCTAATTAAATACCATCAAATAACTTAGCAGATGGCGGGCTTCATATAGGTAACGATGGTTGAGAGGGAGGACGGAGAAATGGGGGTGAAAGAGTGCATGGGCAATGGCAATGGTCGGAGCTGTGGTAGAAAGAGTGGATGATGTAGAAAGCACAAGGGCTGACGTTGCTGGGAATCATGGGGGAGGAAGAGGAGGCAACCAAGAGGATGTTGTCAACTTCGAGACGAAGTTCAGGACCTCTTTCCACTTGGCATTTGAGGTGAAGGTCGAGGGTGCTTGAGGAGGCACCCAGAGGAGATGATGAGCAGTATCACATAACATCTCCTCAGCAACCTCTCCGGGCTGTAAGGCATTTGACTAAATCAAGACTCCAGGACTTAATCCATCACTGTTGGACTTGCCTTGCTGAGAATCAAGGTTCCTTGCTATTATTCACTAGGCAGTGAGTTTTATTTCTTGACTCAGGTTGACTTGCTTCGTTTTCATAACGCATTCTAGATAATCTTGAAGGCGAAGGACAACCCCAGGCTCCTATTCTCCACCACCAACCGGCTCCTCCGTCCACCCTCCCACGCCTCAACCATTTTCTCGTCAAACTCTGACTGTGAGGAGATGCTGGATTTCGTCCTTCTAACTGCCACTCCCTCCCCATCTCTCCCCACACTCTGACCCCTACCCATCACTCCCTCCATATTTTTGAACCTGTCTCCCCCTCTTCTCTCATCTCACCTGCTCCTTGACCCCATACCCACCCCTCTCCTTACCTCCTAGCTCCATTTCCTCGCCACTCTACTCTCCGACACCATCAATCTCTCCCTATCATCTGGCACCATTCCCATCCTCTTAAAAATGGCTATAATCAGGCCCATCCTGAAAAAACTTTCCCTGGACACACCTCTATTTTCTAACTACCATCTCCAACCTACCTTTTCTTTCCAAAGAGTCATTGCTTCCCAGCTTCGCTCCTTCTTCTCCTACCACTATCTTCATAAGCCCCTCCAATCGGGTTTTGGTGCTGCTCACCGCATGGAAACTTCTCTGGTCAAGTTCTCTACCTGCTCGCCCTTGGTGATATCATCTGCCGACATGAGGTCAACTTCCACATGTACGCGAATGACACCCAACTCTCTCTCTCTGCCTCCACCCTCGATTCCAGGACAACTGACGTCTTGACAGACTATCTGTCAGACATCAAGTCCTGGATGAGAGCCAACTTTCTACAGCTGAATGTCAGCAAGACCAAGACCCTCCTGATTGCCTCCGCACCTCAGGCACTGGCAGCATCAGCATCTACAGTTGCACACTCCACCTCGCCAAGCCAGTCAGGAACCTAGGTGTCATGTTGACCCTCAACAGTCCTATCTTCCTCTTATTCGTGCAATGACCCGCTCTTGCATTCCCTCACCTCCACAACATTGCCTGATTCCGCCACTGCCTCACCCGTCAGGCCACCAAAACCATCATACATGCATTCGTCACCTCAAGGCGTGACTAAGGACACTCCCTCCTTGTCGGCCTCCCCAACTCCTCCCTCCACAAGCTGCAGATCATCCAGAACTTTGCAGCTGGTGTCCTCTCCCACACTGGGCTCTGTGACCCCATCACCCCCACCCTCGCCCGGCTCCACTGGCTCCCCATCCCTCAGAGGATAGAATTCACAATCTTTGTCCTCACTTTCAAGGCCCTCCATGACCTTGCCCCTTCCTATCTCTCTGACCTGCTAACCCCAATCAACCTGTCTGCTCCCTCCGTTCAGCAGGCTCTGGTCTGTTCCATGTCTTCCACCCGACCCACCTACCATAGAAGGCCAGGCTTTCAGCCTCTCTGCCCCCACACTTTGGAACTCCATCCCCAAATCCCTTCACCTTGCTCCCTCTCTTGCCTCCTTCAAGGCACGACTCAAGACCCTCCCTTTCGACCGTGCCTTCCTCCGCACTCTACCCTCTCTCATCCCAACCCTGGCCCCCAAGACTCGGCTCCTGATCCTTGACTGTTCAGCCCCTTGGGACGTCTTTCCGACGTTAAAGGCGCTTTACAAATGAAATTTTGTTATTGTTGTAATCATATGACTAAACTGCCAAACCCATCAGTAATATGACTGGCTGATTTGTATGTCACTTATTATATAGTATGTAATCCAGGGTATAAATATGAAATTATTGGATAACTATTTGGTTTAGAAACAACAACAAAAAAAAATTCATTATGCAATGTTTTGTACAGATCAATAAATACACAGCAATGATTACAAAAGTAATCTTATTGAAGGTTTTCTTAGGTGACATTAAACTACAAGTGTGATTCGTGAAAAGCCTTATAATGCTCAATTAAACTTGCCCAAATTCTTCTAATTTGCCACCAAAAATGTAGTAGAAATTTGTCACCACAGGAACTTTAAATAGAGCATTTTGACATACTAAAAAATACATTTTAAAAAAACACCCACATGTTCAACATATGGACCAAGGTATGAATGCATAGGACGACACCAGATTGGATGACATAGGGTAGTATAAACTTAGTTTTATATGTGATCTTATTTCTCTCAATGTGAATTCAATAGTGTGCATACACAAGTGTTCCCTGCACACATATGCCCAGATTTTATCTGCTCAAAGTGATTTTCAACGAGAAAAAGAAAATTCTGCATAAATCCTTGCCAAACATTTAAAAACGGTTTTCAATTATCATATTTGCTGAAATAGAAAGTTCTTTCTTTCCTATCAATCTGAATCCAGAGATGAAATTACAGCCCTAAAATAATCACTTTTACATGGGAATTGTTATTTAATTTTGTGCCATGATACATCATACCTGCCAGGTTCCTCAGTATTGCTTATACGGGATCACATCTATTTCAAATTCCTAAATCTTCAACATGATCACTGCATTCTTAAAGTTTAACTGACAGATTACCAAGAAAATACATAATATTCCAACCAATGTATTTCAGTCATACAAGTTCAA